TTTCAGCCTTACTGGATCGTTCTTCCGTTCCTAGGATCTCCCATTGCCGTTCCAGTCACCACCGTACCTTGCAGGCTGTTCCAAGCAGCGTGTTTGGTCACTCAACCGGCTCACTCGAGTTCACCAAGGGAGAGATCTGTTCTCGTTTTTTATATTATGCAGGATCTTGCACGCACAGGTACCAACGACTAGTGGGGAGATTTTGATATACATAGTTCACGCTTGGCCAAGTATTGCTTATGTGGTGGGAGTTGTTAGCCAATTTATGCATGACCCTTGTATAGTGCATCTAGATGCTGCACTAGGCCTGTTAAAATCCGACACGACATAATTAATCGACACGAATTAAGCGGGTTTGGGTGATAAACGAATTGACTCGCCAAACACGTTTAATAAACAAATCGTGTTCGAATGAGGCCTGTTAAACCATTTATCACACGTTTACCCATTTAAATAAAATTGATATAATAATAAATTAATAATTATTTTAAAAATTTTGCCAAAAAATAAGTAAAGAAATCAATACCAAAAAAAAAAAATGTAAAGGAGCAAATCAATTTAAAGACAAAAGATGGGAGCTGGGGAACAGTTCAAAGACAGACAATGTCTTTTGTTTTTGTCCCACATCCTCAAATGGGAGGAGATTGGGACGGTTGACTTGCCTATAAAAGGCAGTGGTCTCTTCCCTTTTTTTTAGATTTCAAGTGACTTTCAAGTGAGATTTGACTTAAAATTTCTCTTTTTTGAGGCAAGTACAACTGACAGTTAAAAAAAAGTAGAGTATTAAAATTTGTTGATATAATTTTTTTAAAATTAAACGAGTCGAGTCGAATCGTGTTGTGTTATCTGTTTATTAAACGGTTTGTGTTCGTGTTAAAAATTTTCACCGGTTTATTAAACATGTCGTGTACGGGTTTACATGTTTTTCACCCGTCACCCTTTTAACCCGACACCTAACCGTTTAACCTAACATGATTGACACCCCTATTCTGCAAACAAAATTTTGAGGTATCTTAAGTCCGCACTAGAAAAGACATGTTCTGTAACCATGGCCACTTGAGGTTAGAGGTCGTCATTGATGCTGATTGGGTAGGCTCATTTGACGATAAGAGATCTACCTCTGGTTATTGCACCTATATACGAGGGAATCCAGTTACTTGGTGTATTAAAAAATAGTCTGTGGTGGCCAGGCCTAGTACTGAAGCAGAGTATGGAGCTATTACTCGTGGCGTTTTTGAGTTTATGTGGCTTCAGAGTTTGATGCATGGCCTAAGAATTTTGATCGATGGGCCTATGAGACCTAGGAATTTTGATTGATGGGCCTATGAAGTTGTATTGTGACAATACGACTGTTATTGATATTGCTTACAATCCGGTTTAACATGACAGAACCAAATATATTGAGAGTGATAGATTTCATCAATGAGAAACTAAATAAGGAGGGTGATTTGGACACTTTTTGTGAAATTAGGAGATCAATTGGCAGATGTTTTCACTAACCATTGTTTATAAGTTGGACATGAGAGATATTTATGCCCAAGTTAAGGGGGAATGTTAAGAGATGTCTTATAGCCATGAGGGGTATTTTTGTACTTTCAGTTTTACTATTATAAATACATAGGGCTAAAAGAGATAACCCTAATCTGATTCTTGGGCTTTTTCTCAACAGCCACTACATTCCTACAGACTCTCTTCCTCTCTACTCCTTCTCCTTTCTCTCTTCATATCTTAACATTTAGAAACCCAACTGATCATTTTATGTAAAGTTGGAGAGACCTCCCATTGGAAAGAACTCCCAATTTTTATTAACCAACCCCTTGAATTGAAATGGCCGTTTTAGAAGTCGTTTCTTATTTCTTGTAATCGAGTAAATAATGTCCGTCATAGTTGTGACATCTGTACGTCACTTATATTTCATCCCTTTTGAAGAATTCCATAAGCAAGGTATTATGCTCCATGGGATTACTCATCCAACACGGATATAGAAAAGGAAAGACAAGGACAGGTTCATTGCTGCATGTGTCATCCTATCATTCTATTTTGATAAATATTTGGAAAAACACAAACATAAAGGAATGGGAACACTGTGATAAGAATGTGTAGATGGATTAATTGCCTCATTCTTTTTCTTTTCCCTCATTGGCATGGGATGCATAAAGGCGATGGTGGATTGATCACTTATTTTTACATTATCCTATTGCTTTAACTTGGTGGTATAAGATGTTTACATTGGTTGGCTTGAGTTGGGTGGTTCCTGTATCATTCATATCCTTGTTTGTTGAAGATTTGAAAGGGCTTGATGGGGTTGGTAAAGGTGTCACACATTGGAATTGTGCAGTGTTTTGAAAAGCTCGCCTAGGCGAGAAGCGAGGCGAGGCGAGCTTATCTCGCCTGGAGGACCCCAGGCGAAGCGAACGTGAGCGAAGCAAGAAAAAAGCGAGAAAAAACGAAAAAGCGAAGAAGCGAAAAAAGCGAAAAAGCGAACGCTTTATTATAAAAAGCGATTCTGCTTCACTTTTTTTTTTTTTTTTCCTGATTACAGGTTAGTAGTCTCTTTTATTTTTTAATCACTAATGACTTTTTTTTTAGACTATTGCTGGTCTATTTTTTTTTTTTTTCTAATAAACAATGTTTCGAACAAAACACATTCCTTTTTTTTCCTTGTGTTGCTGAATTCATTTAGAATATTTGTGGGATGTGGGAGTCAGGCGACTACACTGCATGACAATTATGATAAAAAAATAAAGCAGGAGTATCAGAAATTGGGGTAAATAATAAATTCTTCTACAAAGAAGTGTCTCTGATATGTCTTGGTTATACTTTTCCCTTTTCTTATATATATACAAATGGTACCAAAAAGTGGTCTATGCTTATACCATGTTTAATTATTTTAGTACATGTGAAATGTGCCTCTGTTCTGCTTTTTTTTATTCAGTATATAATTACATATGAAATTGTTTACAATTGATTCTGCTCCTGTCATGATCATTGTGCTTCTGTTTTTTTTTTTAACTCATTCTGCTTCTATTTTTTTTTTGTTGATTCTGTTGCTGCTTCGATTTTGCTGTCCTGTGTTGCTTTTGTTTTTTTTAATTGTCATTCTGTTTCTTTTTTTTTGTTGCTAATTCTGCTGTTGTCCTGATTCTGCTTCTTTTGTTGTCCTACCCTGTCAATATGAAAATGTATACAATTGTTAGTATTTGTTTGAATTTAAATATTTAAGTTATGACTGTTATTAAGATTTGAGATATTATTAGTGTTTTTTTTAATTTAAATGTTTATGGTTTTACTTGCATTTAAATATTTAGTATATATAAAATTAGAACGTAGATTGTTTAGAAGTAATTAAACTAAAATATATATTTTTTTTAACTGTTCGCTTTGCTTTGGTAAAGCGTGTCGCTTCGCTTCTCGCTTCTCACCTAGGCGTTAGGAGCCTTGGTCGCTTCGGTTCGCTTTACGCCTTAATTAACACTGGAATTGTGCTATCATTGCTACATTGTGGGCATTTGGATGGAAAGAGATACAAGAATTTTTGAAGGCCCGTATGAAGGTTTGGAAGGATTGTGGGACCGTGTTTATTTTCTATCGTCATTTTGGGCTTCAATTTCTAAGGACTTCTAAGGAATTTCACTTTTTAATATTTGCGGAGGATGAGAGCGGATTGTGATGTATAAGCCTGTTATATATTTTTTATCTTGCCTGTTTTATGTACTTTTCATACTTCATTAATAAATGAGTTTTCTTTCCTTTCAAAAAAAAAAAAAACTTGCTTAATATCCACAAATTCTTGTACTCTGAATTGTCGATTCCATTGAAGTTCTTACTGCTAAACCACAACCTATTTGTGGATTTAATACTTGCCTGTGCAGATTGGACTTCAATGTTAAGATTACACGTAGATTTTGGTTTTGGATTCCAAATTATGTAATAGTTGTTTAGCCAGTCAATAGATGGTGCATCATCAACTTTCTTATAGTCACCACCCTAGAGTTAAACCTGGTTCCCACACTTCTTTTTCCTTCATATTTCTCCTGTTGTTAAGCATCTCATCGTGTGCAGCAGAAGTGAAAACTCTTTTTGTTTGGTTGGAATTTCTTATTTTTACCCTGGTTATAGTGAAAAAGTTTTGTTAACGCTTCAGCTGCATCTTTGTTAACATCTAATCAAAAAAGTCCTTGCAAAGTCTCATGTCAATGGTAGTTCAACCTTCCTTAGCTGTAGGTATGGAAAATTCATCTGGGCTGGCTCTAATCTCTGAGTATCAGAAGTCTTTGTGAAAACAATCTGTTTCTATCTGAAAGATTTGCTACTTGAGATATGTCTATCCCTCAATATTTGTGAAATCAGTTTGCTTCGGACAAAGAAGAGATGTAACTTAAATAGACCAACACTCAAATCTAGCTTATCATTTTGTGAGGTTTTTCATTTTTGAGTCCTGGTTATTAGTTATCATTCGTAAAGTTGGATTTGTTAGATAGTTTAGTTGCCAAGATTGTTTGTGGGATGCCACAGACACCTGCCTCTGTTTTGGAGATCCTGCTTAAATGCCTTCTTATATTACTTTTTTAAAAAAAGCAAAAGAACATAGGAAAGAGGAAATTATATTTTTTTTTCAAGTTTGGAATACGGAACATCGAGTTACGAGCAATAACCCTGTGTGAAGATTTGTCATACTAAAAATCGAGCGGTCAACATTTATATTTTAAATAACAATTTATTTTTTCATTCTTTTCTTTAATTACGTAATTTAACATTATATTAGACCGAGAGAAATAGGGGAGAGAGAAGAGAGAGATACCGGTGGGTTGATGGAGTTGTTTGACATTGGGGGCCGTGCAAAGTTGTTTTTTGGTGAATTTTTTTTGGAATGTAATGTATTTTGTATGGTTAGATAGAATTGGATGAAGATTGGATTAATCTCAACCATTGTTGTGCCTTTATAAATGTGCAATTCAAATTGTTAGTTGTAAATATTAGATAGGTTATTTGATATTTGCATGCATAGTCAGTTAGCTCTAAGACATGTTCAGCTGGCAGTGGTATTGGTATTTTTTTTTATTAGATTTATTTGATTTTTAAATCACTTTTGATTATTGTAATTTGTCTGGACAGGGTGGCCTTCACAACAATGTTCCTGAAATAAGCATGCTTAGAAGTGCAGCTCCTAGAGATACAGGGAAATCTCCAATCTCCCAGGCTCCTACCTCTGGCATGCCTTTTAAGGAACAGCATTTGAAACAGCTCAGAGCCCAATGCCTGGTCTTTTTGGCTTTCAGGTGTACATCACTACCATAGCATCGGCTTCAGCCTTTTAATGGTGGAACCATGCAAAGGAGTTTTGGTTTTGGTTGTAGTCATATTTTTTCACCAATGGTTTTTGCATGTGTAGGAATGGTTTGATGCCAAAGAAAGTGCATCTCGAAATTGCACTTGGAAACTTTTTTCCCAAAGAAGGTGATCAATTCTTGATAGCTTCTATAATTTGATTTATTTAATTTTCATATAACAAAATTTTATGCAGATGGACCTCCCAAAGAGCTGATTGACAATAGAGGGAAAGATCAATATATCAATGAAGTTGGCAGCATTCCTGAGGTAACGGTGCCATTTGGAAGACTAGATAATGCAAGTGAAAGAGATAGAAGAATCCCTCCAGGCCCTTCTCCTACTGGATCACTTGCAGAGGGAAATCTTTCTAAGGAAGCTGAGAAGACAACCATGATGGAAGACAAAAATGATCAGCCTTATGGTCTGTCAGAACGCGCAGAAGAAAGGAATCATCTTTTAGGAGGAAGAAAACTGGAGGATGAGGCTGGAACCCAGGAAACATCAGAATCACGGGCATTTGCTGTCAAGGGGCCACAACCTGATTCAAAATCAAGGGGTATAGCAGTCATTAATCAAGGAAATGATTTGGACAGCCACCATGGACAAACTGGAATGGCAAACCGAGCTTCCCCTATTATGGGCATAGGTAAACAGACGAAACCTGAGTTAACTAGTAGGACTGCGAATGGATGTGATAATGAGGTATCTAAAGTCACCTCTGATGTTCCTCATGAACCAGTGGAAGATGGGAAAGATAATACTCCACTTTGATCTCAAACTATTGATGACGGATATATTCAAGGAAATCGTCATGGTGATGTTTACTTGCCTAGTATTCCATTAAGAGAACATTGGAATCCCATGCCAGGAGTGGATGGACAACATCATCCAGTGATACCAATTAAGGATTCCAGCGTGTTGTTAAAAAATGGGCAACAAGGTGACAACCATACCTCTTGACCAAATTCTTCTCGTATTAGTTACTTTTGTGATGTTAATGCTTCTTGTTACATAAGAGTTTCACATGATGCAAAATATTCAAATATTATGGAAAATGTATGCAAAGTAGTTCCCATTGATGATGCTCTAAAAATGGAATCCCTTTTTAGCACTTGAAACAGATCGAGAAGAGGAAGATATTTCAGTTCCTACTCAGATGCTACCGTCTCCGAAATATACAACGTCAGAGAAGTGGATTACATCCCCTGTTATTAGCTGTGTTTGACTGTTTGCAATCGTGAGCCTCGTTGCTCCGACTAGGTATTCCAATGTACTCGATTAGCGTCCCTTACGAATCTCCAATCTATAGCTCTCTTTTTGAGCCCTGAGCTCAGCCACTCAATTGCATAAATTGCACCATTATAATCAAATTTATCTAGTAAATATAATACTAGACCTAATTAAATAAATAATAGTACAATACAATTTTTAATTCAGTTATAATACGTCTATCAAACGAATTTATAGTATTGTAATAGTAATATTAGATTAATATGAAGTGAAACCTATTTTAAAACCCAAATCAAATGAGACTCAAATATATATTCAAATCAATCTCATAATTAAAGATTCAAAATTATATTTTATCTTCTTTTAAATTTGGATTTGTCCTTGTTTAAATTTGAGTTCTTTTAAATTTGAATTTTTTCATCAGAGATGCCTATACCAAATCAAGTTTTTTACCATTTTTTTACTCAAATTTAGATAAAAGTTTGGGTTTCCACTAAAGATGGTCTTAAGGTCTAATTATAGTACTACAAACTTATTTTTTAGTACCAAATTTTTGTTTTTTCATTCAATAAATGTTGCCTTGTAATTTTTTTACTTTAGTTTATTATTTTTGTACTCGATTGCTACAAATGTTTCAAATCAAATCAAATCAAATCAAATCAAATCTACATTGTATAAATATCTGCCCGTCAAAACATACTAAATTAATGCATATTATTATCAAGAATTTTAAATATGCATTACCAATGATGCCATCTGTAGAATGAACTGTGAAAACGCATGAGTGGAGGGTAGAGTTTCAATTGGAAAGGGTAGAATCCCACGGTGACGGGGAGGAAAGGGAAAAGGGTGGAAGATGCTTATATAGAATTTGTCTTGGGTGGTGGTAGGGTCGACGGATGTCAACTAGAGCAAGACTATAACTAAGAGTTGAGGTGGTTGACAGGAGTTAGAAGAAGCTAGGGAAAGTCGACAACTAAGAGGGAGAGAAAAGTTTGATCCCACATTTGCGACTGTGTGAAGCATTATATTTTCATTTAATTAAATTCATGGTCATATTTTTTTTACAAATTAAAAATTAATTTAATAAGCATAATAATAATAATAAATAAAAATGTCTTTTTTATACAATAATTATATTAGTGCTTAATAAACAATTATAAATAATTAACATTTTATTTCTATAATACTAGTTAAACATGCTAATTTCGTATTACCATCCAAATGAAAAATAGAGAAAATATCATTTCTTAAATAAATGAGTTGATCGTGTTAATTTTGAGTTTCGCGTGTTGAACCCAATATGACCCGTTTATATTTCGTGTTCCCATGATGAGTTATTTTTGAGTTTATGTCGAGTTATAATTAAATTTCTATCATAAAATTTGTATTGAGTTTGAGTCATTTTATCGTATTGAGTCAAAAATTATCACTTTTAGGTAGATCTGCTTTTTTAATTTTTGAAAGGCCTCCTACTTTCCCGGTCATTTATCTTTTTCCAACCTCTAAACGAACAATGAGAAATATATCAAGAGGGCAAATTACATTATACTCTTGTTAATTATGGATTTAATTTTATTTTGTCACTTAAACTATTAATTTTTTTATATTATCCCCTCAACTATCTAAATTATTTCATATTACTCCAAACACAAACATCTGTTATCTTCTTGAACGAAAATTATCAATGTGTTGCACCAAATGAAAAAAAAAACATATATTTTGAGGAGTAAAATAGGAACAACTTTTTATCAAATTTGTAACCGATAATTGGAGTAATGTGAAACTAATCTCATCATTGAGGATATAATGTACAAAATATAATAGTTTGAGGGAACAATGTGAAAAAAGATCAAAGTTGAATGGGTCAAAGTGTAATTTTTCCTATTATTATCAATATTCCAAGGGCTTTTTGGGCATATTAGTTGAAAATAACCTCTCCCGTGCCTATCTCCCCACGCGTGGTTATTCCTCCTGATTTAGAATTAACATACAGCGAGTGCTTCACCGTGCTCTTAAAGTCTCAAATCCTGCAGGTTTCTACCTTTCTAGGGCTCATTTGCACAGACGAACACCACCACTTCATTTTGGTGCAGCTTTCTTCTCTCCATGGAGGCTCACTCACCTCCGTAATTCTTCTTCTCAATTCCGATCAGGTAAAACAGAAATCCCGAATTTCCATTCTTTAACCCTAAATTCGCAAAATCAATCGCTTGCATTTTTAAATCCATGCAGTAATTTCCATTTTCTTACTAATTTACTACCTAAAATTCCTTGCTGCGTTATTTTTACCCATCTCCTGATCGAATCTCTTTGATAAATAGCCGAACTTTTATAAGAAGTGTATTGGATAATTATTTTTTAAGAGTGTGTGTATCCATATGTGTATAATGTATAAGATGGGATGTTTTCTGAATTAGAAGAGTATTAACAATGCCGTCTCGGACTCTTCTTTTAGTAGATTTTTCCACCGTTACTAGAATGGGTTGTTCATCATCGAATCTCCTAGATAAGTAGTTGAATTTTTATTAGGAAGTGTCTTGTATGAATTTTATATGGGTGTGTGTATCTATGTGTGTACATGTATAAGACGAGCCATGGCTGAATTAGAGAGCATTAACACTTCCATTTTGGGCTCTTTTTAGTAGATTTCCAATAGATTGTTATAAATATTGTGCACGGGCGTTCATTCCCTTTTGGGGCTTAGAAGTTCTGAACTAGATGCAAACATGCTCCATATGAATCTTAATTAATTTTGGATTATGCAAAATTGGTTTGAAGTTCATTCCCTTTTAGGTTTGCCTTACAATCTGACACATTTGGTGTATGATTGCATAGGCAGTACATTGCCTTGTCTATAGATGTTATATCTGTTGTTGCATAATTTTCATTATATACATATATGTATGTATCTTTGGGAGGGGCCATTGCTTGGTGCAATGGTAAAATTGTTGCTGACCACTGTGAGATGGTTATTTTGAATGGTAGCCACTTTGTGCAACTAATGCCACAGTTAGGTAGATGCCTGGTCCAACCCTCTAGCACCCTTGATTAATGGGACCATCCTGGTTAATGTCCCTTTTTATTCTTAGTTTTCGTGGGCACAACTTACTATAAATGGAACATACCATATTTATAGACATAATCTATTTTTAGGTGTAGATGAAGTTAGCCTATTAAATGTAAACAAGAAAAGATGTGAGAATGGTGCACTTTGCTAAATAATTTGTGTCAGCTTAGGATGAGTTTGATTATTGGTACTTTTCATGTAGGAGGCTTCATTTGCTATGGTGTTGTAGTTTGAAGAATCGAAGATAATGGGGAACCCACATAATGTTGAGCTGGAGGCAGCAAAGTTTCTGCATAAACTAATTCAGGAGTCTAAAGATGAGCCCACAAAGTTGGCTACAAAACTCTATGTGGTGGGGGATCATTTTCTTCTAGATTATACTCTTATGTTATTTTCATTTTTGAGTTCTAACTAATTCCTGTAAATTTATATGCATGTCCTTACTTATTTTTGTTCGGCATTTAAGATTTTGCAACACATGAGATCTAGTGGAAAGGAAAATTCAATGCCCTATCAAGTGATATCAAGGTAAACTATTTCCAACTCCTATAGTGCTAACCATCTGTACAAGTTTATTTATATTAAGTGGTTAATAATTTTTATCCCCATCCCCTTATTTTTGTGCTTTTATTATTTTTACTTGCTAAATAAATACTAGTAAATTCATATGCCTAATATGCCTTTCTTTGCTCAGTTGAACAGACCTTTCAACTTAAGAATTGTTGGATTAATAATTACATTGCCACAGTTGATCTGGAGAGCAGTTAATGTAGCTGACCATTTTGCAAATTACAGTTTTAAATGGCCTCTTAATGTGTTTGTTTTTGAAGTTAATCTCATATTTTCTACTTTAATAATTTATTTTCTCATTCTAGGGCAATGGAGACAGTTATCAGTCAACATAATCTTGACATTGAGGCTTTGATGTCATCTCGTCTTCCTTTGACCAGTGGAACGCACATAGGAGATTCTGCATCATCACAATTAGCTGGTAAAGATACAACTAACAAATTAGTTGCTAGTGAAATAACTTTCCAAGGTGCACCTGTCAGTGCATGGCCAAGCATGATGAGACGACATAACTGTAATTGCAGGTTCCTCACAAAGGTGTGGGGCCGTGAATGATCCTAAAGCTAGCTTGGCTGGAAATGAGACGGGAAAACTTGACACGTATGCTTCGAGCAGGCCACTTGTTGGCCCTAGCAGGGCAGGGCATGATCTTTACCAAGGATCTGCTTCCCATCTGAATAGTAAGTCCTTTGATAGTGAAAGTTCATTAAGCTTTGGCAGTAGGCCCGTCAACTTGCAGTCTCGAGATGACCTGATGCATTAAAGTGGGATAAATTAAATAAAAAAACGACAACAATAAAATCAGCATTCAGAGAAAGAGGAGCGATTCATCGTTGAACCCTACGTATGGTCCACTGAACTATATATTGATTCCCTGCAAGGTTTTTTATTCAACAAACATCACCAGCTTGGTGTTGCAAGCTCTAAACTCTTGAAAATAGCAGTTTCCTCTGCTCATAATACTTTAGGTCCACTGCAAAGATGCCGTTTAGCCTCAATGTTTGATGTTCTTAGTTCCAGATGATTGCAGCATTAAATTAGATGTGGTTAACACCTGGAAAGTCTCAAATTTCTGTGGTTTAGTTTTATTGCTGGAGGTATTGTGAGCAGAAATATTGATAAACCAGTCATCCCTTTCATGTCTTGAATCAATTAAGGAATTATTTTTCAACTGTAAAATAATAACGAATGTGGGTTGTTGGAAAACTGTAAATTTGGATATTATGTACCTAATGATAAGGAGATTCTTCCAGTATGACTTCCCAAAAGGAGAAAAACAAATGAAGAAAGGAGAATTTATAATTTTGTGCAGTACCCAGTTGGTGTAAAAAGCAAGATTTTAAACCAGGGGGCCACATTTAGTGATGCTTTTTGTTGGTGTTCTCTTTAGTCGTGGCCCTGATTAAACTTGTTGTGCATCTACAGAAAATTGTGTTATGTGGCTCTCTTTGCTTGTGCTTGATGAATGAAATGTAAAAATTGAGTAATCCTTTTTGTGTGAGTGTTGGATTTTACTTTCCGGAAGAGATTAAGTACCGCGACTTCGATCTTTTTCAATAACATCATGACATAGTAAATCAACAAATCCTAATGTGCTCTCCCTTTCCCCTTCAAGTTTTTGGCAATTAGTTAAATCACAAGGTACTGCAAAAATTTCAGATGCACCTAGCAAGGTTCATGGAGTGATGCCCAATGCTTCTAGTTTATATCCCTCGACCGAATCAGGTATTTTAAGTCCAATGCAGTTTGGCAGTTCTTCATATGATAATAATGGCTTGGTTTCAGAGATGCATAAAGATAGAAGCCATCAGTTTATCTTTCTTCTGGTAAAGTTTCAGTAGGAAAGGCTTTGGAGCACGATGGAGGAATTTCCAGTACATTAGCAAATACAAATACGATATTTCCGGTACATTTTCAATGCTTCTGTTAATGAAACAAAGATAGTTTAGGTACTGCATATCAGTCAAGTTTCTATCCTTCTGGCAAAGTCTGGGCATGGTGTTGCACTAGTTTCTAGTATCACTGCCTTGGGGTTATATTATTCTCAAGAGGTTCAGTATCAAGTATGTTGCAGGTCAATTTATTTTTTGGATTGTATTGCAGGTTAATTTATTATGTAATATTTGTTGCTGCTTTTAATGTTAAGATCATTTCAGTACATCTTTGGGCTGGGATGAATTTGTCAGCTATCCCCCCTCCCTTTAAGTGCGTATTATGGGGTTTCTCATTTTCACTCGCATTGTGAGATTGTGCACCAACTTGCTCTCTTGATTTTTTTGCTTCTCAGATTTATCTTGCCCTTGCTTTGATTTATGCAATTGTAGTCTTAGAGGTGGGGTTTCCATGAATGTGCTTGTTACGACATTCACAACCCCAATGCTCTATTCAACAAGTGAACAAACTATTTTCCAATTACACTCTTCAACTATGTCAAGGAGGGTACATGAAATCATTAATTGAACATGATCTAGTTGCCATCTACCCCCTCATTTGTTGACTTAGGGTTAAGAGATTTCTTATAGACAGGACCGGTTATTTATGCACTTTTAGTTTTACTATTATAAATACATGGGGCTAAGTTCTGATTTTTGAGGCTTTCTCTCAAGAGGCACCACATTCATATAAACTCTCTTCCACTATATTTCTTCACCTTTCTCTCTTCATATCTTAACATGGTATCGGAGCTCGATGCGCCTTAAGTTGATTTTCTTTTCATTTTCTTGTTTTTTCAGTAATGTAAGTCTACTTACTTCCACCCACAAGTGTTTTTTTTCCTTTTTTTGCTAAAACCTAAAAAAAAAAATTCGAAAAACATTTCAGCATAGTTGATTAGGGTTCTAAATACTTCTAGAAAAATTCTCAACTTTTTTTGGAGTTCATTTGATGTGTTTTTTTTCATTTTTTTCTATTTTTGGGAATTATTGGTCTAATTTTCCCAAATTGCTTATACTAGCTTGTTTAATGCAATTCGATGGCTGGAATAGCTCCCTTGGGGTCCGAAATTACCTTTTTGCCAGTAGTCAATTGTTGTTTAATCCATTTTGATGATTCTTTGGCCAAATCTACTCTTGTTCTTGAATTTTTTTTTTTTTGCTAAAACAACAATTTTTTTAATCCTTTTATCACTTTTTCTGATCATATTTGGTCCCCTTTTTTCAGTTTTTATTGTGTGGGTATCTTATTTTTTGCAAGTATTCCTTGGATTTTGTGGGTTTGTAGGTGATTGAAACCAATCTTTGATATTTGGGAATGCTATCCTTTTTTGGTGGACATGGCAGTCGATACTAAGACTTGTTGCAGTAAGGCGAATGCATTGAGTCGTGTTGGGACTCTTGGAAATAGCCCATCCCTTCAGATTAGTTCGGTTAAGTTGGATGACATCAACTATTCGATTTGGTCACGATTTTGCAGTTTGGCTATTGTTGCACGTGGCTTAACTGGTTACATTATAGGAACTCTCAAGGATCCTATGACACGTGGACCAGCACGAGAGAAATGACAATAAAAAAATGCTCTTGTTATGACTTGGCTAATTAACTCAAAGCAACCCTTTATTACTTGTATGTTCTTGTTGATGAACACAACACAAAATTTTTGGTTTGCAGTTACACAGAAGGGTAATGACACACAGGTCTATGAATTGAGGAAGAAGATTTGTGAATTAGATCAGAAAGACAAATCTCTTGCTGAGAATTATGCAGAATTGAGTAGTTTGTAGAACTTGACTATTATCAGTTTTCAGACTGTTTGTACGAAGGATGCAGTTGCCTTTTAGCAGATGATGGAGAAAGAGTGGGTGAATGATTTTCTTGCTGGCCTTAATAGGGAAAATGATCCAATTCGAGTTCAGGTTTTGGTCGATATCTGTTCCTTACCTTGAAAGATGCCTATTCTTGTGTTTAGCAAGAGGAAAGTCGGCATGGTGCTACGGTATACACTCCTAGTTAGGATTGTTTTGCTTTGCTTGTTACTCCTACTTCATGGCATAGTAATGTTAGTTAACCCAAGACTAGTGGGCAGAGTAATGTTGGTGATCGTGATTTGTTAAAATGTGAGTAGTGTGAAAAAGAATGCCATACAAGAGAGCACTATAGGAAGTTGCATGATGGTCCAACCGAGGGTGTGGAGCTGGTCATGGTGGTATTATGCGGCTCAAGCTCATATTTCTAAACCTTTTGTTGATATTAGTGCTCTCTCCTAGGATGAGATGTGTACTCTCAGGTGTCTGATGTCTAGATTTGATATATCATCTACCATAGCTTCTCCCCCTTGCACTAGTTTCCTCTAACTTTGCTTATACAAGTAGTCAAACATATGATCTCAGTGTTGCTAATGACTCTTTATCCTCTGATTTTGGAAAAGGTTCTGTATAGTGTTTTCCCTAAATTTCCCTTTCATTTGTTCTTCATGTTCCAAACTTTTCCACTAATTTATTCTCTATTAGTAGTCTTACCAAGTCCTTAAACAACCCAGTAACATTTTTTACTACTCGTTGTGTGTTTCAAGGGAAAAATAATTGGTGGTGGTAGAGCACTTAGTGGTTTGTATTTGCTGGATGATGTTTCTTTATCTACATTGCTGCCAGATCGGGCTCTATAAGTGGATATTGTGTCTTATTTTCCACTCTTATTTCAATGGCACCACACTTTAGGAAATCCTTTCTTTGGTGTTTTGGAGAAACTTTTTCTTATGTCGCCTAAATTATGTCATAGGAGCAATTTTGTTTGTGATAGTTGCGAGTTTCCAAAGCATAAATGTTTATGTTATCCTTCCATTAATAAAACTAGTGATTTTCCCTTTATGTTTATTCATTCTAATGTGTGGATTTCTTCTCAGTTATTACTCGTTTTGGTTATTGTTAGTTTGTTACATTCATTGATTGTTATTCTTGTGTTACTTGGGTGTATTTACTTTGAACTAAGAGTGAAGTATTTTCATGCTTTGAAGCTTTTCATAAGATGGTGACTAACCAGTTTGATACTACCATTAAAACCCTTAGGAGTGATAATTAGATTGAATATATTGATTGCAAATTCTGAGCATACTTTGAAGAGCATGGTATTTTTTATCAAACGAGTTGTGTAAGCTCTCTTGAACAAAATGGGATTGTTGAGCACCAAAACCATCATGTTCTTGTGATTGCTCGTGTTCTTATGTTCACTATAAATGTTCCCAACACCTTTCTGGGGATGCTATTGTTACTGTTGCATATCTTATTAATCACGCTCTCTAGTGGTCTTCGGTTTAAGGTTCCTCTTAAACTTTTCCCTAGGTCCCTTTCTCTTTCCTCTCTTTCTCCCAACGTATTTGGGTTTACTTGTTTTGTTCTTGTCTCGACTCATTCTCAAGGCAAATTCAACTCTAAGGCGTGTGCGTTGTGTCTTAGTTGGATACCTCTACGACGTTGAAAGGTTACAGAAGTTAAGATCCTCGGTCTCACAAGGAATATGTTAGCATGGTTATCACATTTCGTGAGACCGAACCTTACTTTGCTTTATTTCAGTCCTTACTTAAGGGGGAGATTGGTAATGAGGAAGAGAGGCAATGAGAGGAACTCTTATTTTTTCTCCCTTCGTTAAGAGAGATTGTTTGTGGTGAGGGGGAGAAAGACAAGTGTACTAAAGAAAAACATAATACTGGTGGATGGTTGGATAGACCCGATATTCAAATTTATTGTTGACATCCAAAAGAGCAAACCATCCATGTGCCACCAAGTCAATTGGCATCTCCAACTCGAGTTTCAGATTCTTCCAAAGAGGTTTCAAAAGATAAGTCTCCATCTCTTGTTGTCATAGATGTTGATGATTGTTCTCTTCCAATTGCACTCAACATCCTATTTCTAATTTTGTTTCTTATAACTTTTTGTCTTCTTCATATTGTGCCTTTGTTTTGTCTTTATCTTCTGCATATATTCCACAGGGTTAGAAGAAAGCTTTTGCAATTCATAAGTGGAAAGAAGTTAGGTAGAAGAAATGAAAGTTCTAAGCAAGAACGACACTTTGGAATTAGTTTTATTTCCAGTTAGGAAGAGACCTGGAGGTTGCAAGTGTAGGTTGTAAGTGGGTCTTTACTGTTAAATAGAAAGCAGATGGAGTAGTTTAAAGATATAAAGCAAGGTAAGTTGCCAAAGGTTTTACTCAGACTTATGGCATTGACTACCAGGAGACCTTTGCTTCTGTTGCAAAGATGAATTCTATTCACACTCTTTTTTCTTGTGCTGCTAATCTGGGTTGGCTCTTACAACAACTGGATGTGAAGAATGACATTCCTTCATAGCGACTTGGAGGAAGAGGTTTATATAGAGATATTCCACTAGGTTTTTCCTCTCATTCTATTGTTACAAAGGTTTGCAGGTTGAGAAACACACTTTTTGGCTTGAAATAATCTCCTACAGCTTGGTGCTTATAAGCAAAATAATGCAGATCACACCATGTTTATCAAACATAATGGTGATAAAATTACTATCCTTATTGTTTTATGTGGATGACATTGTGGTAATAGGCAATGTCTCACCTAAAATTACGTCGGGCAAGAAAGTTTGAGATCAAAGATTTAGGTTCATTGAAGAACTTTATAGGATTGAGGTTGCTAGATCTGATAACATCTATATACCTCAGAGGAAGTACGTGTTTTGACATACTTAAGGAGATAGACATGTTAGGATGTAGGCCAGTAGACACACCAATTGAGGCTAATCATTGGTTGGGTAGTGGCATAGGTGACCATGTGGATAAAGAAAGGTACCAACGACTAGTGGGAAGATTTGATATACATATCTCACGCTCGGCCAAGTATTGCTTATGCAGTGGGAGTTGTTAGCCAATTTATGCATGACCCTTGTGTAGTGCATCTAGATGTTGCACTAGGTCTGTCAAAATCCGACACGACATGACACGATTAATCGACATGAATTAAGTGGGTTTGAGTGAGATCTTAACGGGTTATCCCGCCAGACACGTTTAATAAATGGATCTTGTTTGAATGAGACTTGTCAAACCATTTATCACACGTTTATCGGTTTAAATAAAATTGATATCATATTAAATTAATAATTATTTTAAAAAATTTACCAGAAAAAAGAAGTAAAGAAATCAGTACAAAAAAAAAGGTGAAGGAGCAATTCAGTTCAAAGACAAAAAGAGGGGAGATTGGGAGATGGGGAACCGTTCAAAGACAAAGACAATGTCTTTTGTTTTTGTTCCACATCGACAAATGAGGGGAGATGGGGAGGGTTGACTTGCGTATAAAAGGCAGTGGCCTTTTTCCTTTTTTTTTTCAAGTGACTTTCAAGTGAAATTTGGTAGAAAATTCTTCTTTTTTGAGGTAAGTACAACTGAAAGTAAAAAAAGTGGAGTATTAAAATTTTTTGACATAATTTTTTAAAAATTAAATGGGTTAAACGAGTCGAGTTGAATCCTGTCGTGTTATTTGTTTATTAAACAGTTTGTGTTTGTGTTAAAAATTTTCGCCTGTTGATTAAACGTGTCATGTACGGGTTTACATGTTTTTCACCTGTTACCCTTTCAACCCGACATGTTACCGTTTAACCTGACACGATTGACACCCCTATTTTGCATACAAAATTTTGAGGTATCTTAAGTCTGCCCTAGAAAAGACATATTCTCTAACCATAGCCACTTGAGGTTAGAGGCAGTCATTGATATTGATTGGGCTGGCTCATTTGATGATAAGAGATCTACTTTTGGATATTGCACTTATATATGAGGGAATCCAGTTACTTGGCGTGGTAAAAAGTAGTCTGTGGTGGCCAGGTTTAGTACTAAAGCAGAGTATGGAGCTATGACTCGTGGCGTTTTTGAGTTTATGTGGCTTCAGAGTTTGATGCATGGCCTAAAAATTTTGATCGATGGGCCTATGAGACCTAGGAATTTTGATTGATGGGCCTATGAAGTTGTATTGTGACAATACGACTGTTATTGATATTTCTTACAATCCGGTTTAACATGACAGAACCAAACTTATTGAGAGTGATAAATTTCATCAATGAGAAACTAAATAAGGGGGGCGATCTGGACACTTTTTGTGAAATCAGGAGATTAATTGACAAATGTTTTCACTAACCATTGTTTATAAGTTTGGCATGAGAGATATCTATGCCCAAGTTAAGGGAGAATGTTAAGAGATGTCTTATAGCCATGAGGGGTATTTATGTACTTTCAGTTTTACTATTATAAATACATAGAGCTAAAAGAGATAACCCTAATCTAATTCTTGGGGCTTTTTCTCAACAGCCACTACATTCCTACATACTCTCTCTTCCTCTCTACTTCTTCTCCTTTCTCTCTTCATATCTTAACATTTAGAAACCCAATTGATCATTTTATGTAAAGTTGGAGAGACCTCCCATTGGAAAGAGCTCCCAATTTTTATTAACCAACCCCTTGAATTGAAATGGCCGTTTTATAAGTCGTTTTTGATTTCTTGTAATCAAGTAAATATTGTCCGTCATAGTTGTGACATCTATACGTCACTTATTTTTCATCCCTTTTGAAGAATTCCATAAGCAAGATATTATGCTCCATAGGATTACTCATCCAACGCAGATATAGAAAAGGAAAGACAAGGACAGGTTCATTGTTGCATGTGTCATCCTATCATTCTATTTTGATAAATATTTGGAAAAACACAAACATCAAGGAATGGGAACACTGTGATAAGCATGTGTAGATGGATTAATTGCCCCATTCTTTTCCTTTTCCCTCATTGGCATGGGATGCATAAAGGCGATGGTGGATTGATCACTTATTTTTACATTATCCTATTGCTTTAACTTGGTGGTATAAGATGTTTACATTGGTTGACTTGAGTTGGGTGATTCGTATATCATTCATATCCTTGTTTGTTGAAGATTTGAAAGGGCTTGATGGGGTTGGTAAAGGTGTCACACATTGGAATTGTGCTATCATTGCTACATTGTGGGTATTTGGATGGAAAGAGATACAAGAATTTTTGAAGACCCGTATGAAGGTTTGGAAGGATTGTGGGACCTTGTTTATTTTCTATCGTCATTTTGGGCTTCAATTTCTAAGGACTTCTAAGGAATTCCACTTTTTAATATTTGCGGAGGATGAGAGCATATTGTGATGTATAAGCCTGTTATATATTTTTTTTCTTGCCTGTTTTATGTACTTTTCATAGTTCATTAATAAATGAGTTTTCTTTCCTTTCAAAAAAAAAAAAAAAAATTTGCTTAATATCCACGAAGGTTCTTTTACTCTGAATTGTCGATTCCATTGAAGCTCTTACTGAAGCCTTTTCTTTGACTCATCCTCCATCTGATTTGCTACTTCTGCTGCATCTGATATTGTGTGAAGTCATCTTACTGCTAAACCACAACCTATTTGTGGATTTAATACTTGCCTGTGCAGATTGGACTTCAATGTTAAGATTACACGTAGATTTTGGTTTTGGATTCCAAATTATGTAATAGTTGTTTAGCCAGTCAATAGATGGTGCATCATGAACTTTCTTATAGTCATCACCCTAGAGTTAAACCTGTTTCCCACACTTCTTTTTCCTTCATATTTCTCCTGTTGTTAAGCATCTCATCGTGTGCAGCAGAAGTGAAAACTCTTTTTGTTTGGTTGGAATTTCTTATTTTTACCCTGGTTATAGTGAAAAAGTTTTGTTAACGCTTCAGCTGCATCTTTGTTAACATCTAATCAAAAAAGTCCTTGCGAAGTCTCATGTCAATGGTAGTTCAATCTTCCTTAAGCTGTAGGTATGGAAAATTCATCTGGGCTGGCTCTGATCTCTGAGTATCAGAAGTCTTTGTGAAAACAATCTGTTTCTATCTGAAAGATTTGCTACTTGAGATATGTCTATCCCTCAATATTTTTTAAATCAGTTTGCTTCAGACCAAGAAGAGATGTAACTTAAATAGACCAACACTCAAATCTAGCTTATCATTTTATGAGGCTTTTCATTTTTGAGTCCTGGTTATTAATTATCATTCGGAAAGTTGGATTTGTTAGATAGCTTAGTTGCCAAGATTGTTTGTGGGATGCCACAGACACCTGCCTCTGTTTTGGAGACCCTGCTTAAATGCCTTCTTATATTACTTTTTTAAAAAAAGCAAAAGAACATAGGAAAGAGGAAATTATATTTTTTTTTTCAGGTTTGGAATACAGAACATCGAGTTACGAGCAATAACGCTGTGTGAAGATTTGTCATACTAAAAATTGAGCGGTCAACGTTTATATTTTAAACAACAATTTATTTTTTCATTCTTTTCTTTAATTACGTAATTTAACATTATATTAGACCGAGAGAAATAGGGGAGAGAGAAGAGAGAGATACCGGTGGGTTGATGGAGTTGTTTGACAATGGGAATGTGTTTGTTGCGTTGTTTGACATTGGGGGCCGTGCAAAGTTGTTTTTTGGTGAATTTTTTTTGGAATGTAATGTATTTTGTACGGTTAGATGGAATTGGATTAATCTCACCCATTGTTGTGCTTTTATAAATGTGCAATTCAAATTGTTCGTTGTAAATATTATATAGGTTATTTGATATTTGTATGCATAGTCAGTTAGCTCTAAGACATGTTCAGCTGGCAGTGGTATTGGTATTTGGATTTATTAGATTTATTTGATTTTTAAATCACTTTTGATTGTTGTAATTTGTCTGGACAGGGTGGCCTTCACAACAATGTTCCTGAAATAAGCATGCTTAGAAGTGCAGCTCCTAGAGATACAGGGAAATCTCCAATCTCCCAGGCTCCTACCTCTGGCATGCCTTTTAAGGAACAGCATTTGAAACAGCTCAGAGCCCAATGCCTGGTCTTTTTGGCATTCAGGTGTACATCACTACCATAGCATCGGCTTCAGCCTTTTAATGGTGGAACCATGCAAAGGAGTTTTGGTTTTGGTTGTAGTCATATTTTTTCACCAATGGTTTTTGCATGTGTAGGAATGGTTTGATGCCAAAGAAACTGCATCTCGAAATTGCACTTGGAAACTTTTTTCCCAAAGAAGGTGATCAATTCTTGATAGCTTCTATAATTTGATTTATTTAATTTTCATATAACAAAATTTTATGCAGATGGACCTCCCAAAGAGCTGATAGACAATAGAGGGAAAGATCAATATATCAATGAAGTTGGCAGCATTCCTGAGGTAACGGTGCCATTTGGAAGACTAGATAATGCAAGTGAAACGGATAGAAGAATCCCTCCAGGCCCTTCTCCTACTGGAATGCTTGCAGAGGGAAATCTTTCTAAGGAAGCTGAGAACACTAACATGATGGAAGACAAAAATGATCAGCCTTATGGTCTGTCAGAACCCACAGAAGAAAGGAATCATCTTTTAGCAAGAAGAAAACTGGAGGATGAAGCTCGAACCCAGGAAACATCAGAATCACGGGCATATGCTGTCAAGGGGCCACAAACTGATTCAAAGTCGAGGGGTATAGCAGTCATTAATCAAGGAAATGATTTGGACAGCCACCATGGACAAACTGGAATGGCAAACCGAGCTTCCCCTATTGTGGGCATAGGTAAACAGACGAAACCTGAGTTAACTAGTAGGACTGCGAATGGATGTGATAATGAGGTATCTAAAGTCACCTCTGTTGTTTCTCATGAACCAGTGGAAGATGGGAAAGATAATACTCCACTTCGATCTCAAACTATTGATGACGGATATATTCAAGGAAATCGTCATGGTGATGTTTACTTGCCTAGTATTCCATTAAGAGAACATTGGAATCCCATGCCAGGAGTGGATGGACAACATCATCCAGTGATACCGATTAAGGATTCCAGTGTGTTGTTAAAAAATGGGCAACAAGGTGACAACATGCTTCTTGACCAAATCCTTCTAGTATTAGTTACTTTTGTGTTGTTAATGCTTCTTGTTACATAAGAGTTTCTCATGATGCAAAATATTCAAATATTATGGAAAATGTATGCAAAGTAGTTCCCATTGATGATGCTCTAAAAATGGAATCCCTTTATAGCACTTGAAACAGATCGAGAAGAGGAAGATATTTCAGTTTCTAATCAGATGCTACCATCTCCAAAGTATACAACGTCAGAGAAGTGGATTTTGGAGCAACAGAAGAGGAAACATCTCACTGAGCGAAATTGGGTGGTAAAACAGCAAAAGACAGAGCAAAGGATTGGTGCATGTTCTGACAAGTTAAAGGTTTGTTATGAAAATTGTCTATTTCTACTTGATCCCATGTCAAAATTTTCTATGTATTGATCATATGATATTAAGGACCAGTTTGATAACCCTAGTATCTACTTAACTTTGGAAAGTTTCAGTGTTTCCTTTTATTTTTGTTTGATAGCTAAAGAATGATGGCTTAAGATATTAGATCCATTTGAAGAGCGGGTCGGAATTTTAAATTAGAGAGACCGGACATGTAACTAATAGCTGAGCATGCTCAGTGGAAGCATGTTATAAATTTTAATGTTCAGTGACAAATTTTTGTGTTGATCTAATAAGTTTGCCACTTAAAATTATCAGGACAACTAATTTAACATTAAAAAATTTCAGTGCTGACTTTTGCTTATCAATTTTGGTTTTCGATCCAGTCTTTTTAGTTTTGTATTGAACAACAATTAAGCATGCATTCATAAAAACTATGGTTCCTTGTTCATTTTCCTCTTTTTATTTCCTTCCAACTTTTTTTTTTCTTTTTCCTTGTATGTTTTTGCTTGTTCTCTTCTGGATTTGCACTGTATTCCCACATGCATGCATTTGTGTTGGTGAGTTTGGGAACTAATGAGGAATTACGGGAAAGTCTGGAAAGACATTACGTAAAATGCCCATTTGGAATGGGGAGAAAAAGAAGCGATTAACTTGTTCCATGGGGAAGTTTATACTTGTCACTCAAAGTTGAATGATGTGGATATGTCATCTAAGGGATCTGATTGTGTAGGAGGTCATCATGGAGGAAGAATACTATATCAAAACTCAAGGCATTTTAAAGAAAGTTGCCGTGATACATCTGGAATTCTAGGCTTTCTAGATTAGCTTGTGATGCCATAATGCTTTATTCTTTCGACTACATTGATGTGATTGACTTGCTTAGGGATGGTTGTACTTTCCTTTAATCTTTGTTTCGAAGGAGATGCTTTTGCCCAAGGGTGGAGCTTGGGAATTAGCATCATAGCGGGTCTGAAATGTTCTGGACAATATGCATTATTTTTGTGTTAAATGAGCCTTAATAATGTGATGAAAGTGCCCTCTGAAGGCAGTATTTGATGCATTTGTACTCCAAAAATTACTAAAATATTGGTGATTTGATGCTATTAAGAATTAGCCGAGTAGGTAAGCTAAAAAATAACCGGATTAGCATCAGATTCCGTTTTCATTAACCTCATGTTCTGTTCTCTCCTCCATTTCTCAAGGATTGGATCTGCTGAAAGCATAGTGGGGATTGTATCAGTCGTGTTATTTATTTACTTTTTGTCTTGTTCCTCTCAAGGAAGGGTGTTACATGTTGAACTCCATAAATTTTGATGCTCTTATCAACAGAAAATGTGAATGAAAAGATTACCTTTATTGATCTTCTTTTATGCAATCTGAAATAATTCTCGACTTCTTATAATTTATTTGTAATGCACAAGTGTATATCGACGATAGTATGCTTGAAATTGTTTGTCGGGTATATTATCATCTCCTTCCGACTCCGTCAAGACTAATTTTTAATGTGTAAAATAAAATCCCTATCCTCATAAATGATGTGAAACCTGTGTAAAAGAAACCACTTCTGGCATTTGCTTTATGTAGTAGATCTAGTTTTCGTCAAATGTAGAAGTCACAACTAGGCTGTTTCCAGCATAACTAAAATTAAGAAGAAAGAGAATCAAAGCTGTTAAGGAGCAAAAAATATGTTAATGATAAGGTGCTTCTAGATGTCGAATAGCTTCATGAAACTATTTCTGCCTGTGGATAAGGGGTTCTTTTTGGTTACATCCTTTAACATTGGATGGAAGTTTACTACTCTGATTGAAAAAAGTGGCCTGTATTGTAGTTTTTTTTTATTCTAAATATGCTTCATCTACAAGAAAAAAAATTGTAGTTTCCTCTGAATGCTTGCAGCCAAGTTACTTCGCAAGTGATATATGCATACACGAGGCTTACAATATTTATCTGTGACTGTGAGCTTAAGATTATCTAGCCTTACAATATTTATATGTAAGCTTAAGGTTGCTAACTTCAGAAGCCATTTGGCCAATATGTTCACAATTTATGGGGAAAGTTCTGAGTATTCAAAGTTCATAGAATCTGTGTAATGTACAATGCCAGATCCTTATCAGAGTTTTGAACCTAATTTATTTGCCCTTTTTGTTTGGAAAATGCTATTTGGACCTTATTTCTGACTTTAATACATCATAGTCATTGAATTGGTAGTGGACCCAACTAATAGTGGGGTCCACTATCAATCAAATGACAAAGAATGATTGGGTCAACAAATAAGGTCAATAAATGAGGTCCAAGTGGTATTGCTTTTTTTTTTTTGTTGAATTTATTCAAAGGAAGAGTGGGTTTTTTAATAGTTTCTTCTGCCAGATAACAGCTCATAGTAAGATGTGCCATCATTGAAGCTATGGGCTTGTTTGAGAAGTATGAGATAATTTTGACGACTAATTTTTCACTTCTTGTTTACATTCTCCAGATGAATAAAAAACTCTCCAGCCCCCTTCGTTTTTTCCCCACTCCAATTTTGGTGGCTTGGGTTTTTTATAGAAATCATTTTCTTGTTTAGTTGATGCTCTGTTATTGATTCTTTTGAGCTTTGGATGATGGTGTTGAGACAAGACAAGAGTATAATTTGTTTATTTGAGGTTTACCTTTTCACTCGAAACTCTCATATTCTTTTGAAAAAATATTTCTATCCGAATAAAACTGGAAACGTTTAACCCCGACAATGGCTACATGGTTGTTACTGAGTACCTTTTATCATTGTTCAATGCTTTATGATCTCATCTGATCTATAGATCAATAAGAAGTTTCCTGTCTAACATTTGTTTGATGGTTTGTAATTTTGACATGTGTATCCTTTATAGTAACTCCTTTGCCACCAAGTGTTGCACCTTTGCTGAACTTTTGTGGATTGTGTCTTTCTTTTATGTTCCTTGTATTGTTGCCATGTAAATTATATTGAAGACGGCCCCATGATTTGGTGGGATTGTATTTGTTTAATTTCATGTGATTCATGTACTTTATGCCTTTGTTTTTTGACCCTTACTGTACAGGAAAATGTGAGCTCCTCTGAAGATATTTCTGCAAAAACTAAAAGTGTAATTGAATTGAAAAAGCTTCAATTGTTGGAGCTTCAACGCCGTCTGCGGAGGTAGTCGGTCTTCCCAACTTGGCTTTGAGTTGATGCTAAGTTTATATTTTTTTTTAAGATGACAGAACCAATGATTTTTTTACACTTGATATCTGATCTAGCTTGCTTTCTGTATTCCTTCATTCTGCTTGCCCATTTTACACTGACATTGTAACTGTTTAATTTTGGCAGCTGTATTTTGAATGATTTCTTCAAACCAATAGCAACTGAGATGGATCGCTTGAAATCGATTAAGAAACATAGAATGGGTAGGAGATCGAAACATGTTGAAAAATTTGAGCAGAGAATGAAGGAAGAAAGGCAAAAGAGAATTCGTGAGAGGCAGAAGGAGTTCTTTGGCGAGGTAGAAGTTCACAGGTATTTATATTATTTTCTACTCAATATGTAATAATCTGGATCTCTTTTGCTATTTCAGTTTTGTATATATTTAATTATGCTTTCGTGAAATGTTTTTAGTTCTGTAGTTTACTTTATGTGACTTTTCTTGATAATGTCACCTCTAGGGAAAGACTGGAAGATGTGTTCAAAATGAAGAGAGAGCGGTGGAAGGGTTTTAACAAATACATAAAGGAGTTCCACAAAAGGAAGGAGCGGATACATCGTGAGAAGATTGACAGAATCCAGCGTGAGAAGATTAATCTACTGAAAATCAATGATGTGGAGGGGTATCTTCGAATGGTTCAGGTACAGTCTGGCTTATTAAACTTTACATACTTAGGGTGCTGTTCTATATGAAGTATTTGCTAATATGCTTTGAACATGATTGTAGGACGCAAAATCAGACCGTGTTAAGCAACTATTAAAAGAGACAGAGAAATATCTTCAAAAGCTTGGGTCAAAACTACAGGATGCAAAGGTTGTGGCAAGACAGTTTGAGACTGGAATGGATGAGAATCGAACTGCAGGTACTGTAGAGAAGAGTGACATTGCTATTGAGAATGAAGATGATATTGACCAGGCAAAGGTATGTGATTTTTCTTGCTCTCTCTGGAGTTCATTTTATTTCTCACGCAGTTTGTTACATATGCAATCTGCAGTTCATTCTAATTTTTGTTGCTCAATTTGTTGTATTTGATTTGTTATGCAGCACTATTTGGAAAGCAATGAAAAGTACTATTTGATGGCTCATAGGTATTGAAATCGCTTCTTATCTTCCCCTTGTAAAGGTTGTTATATTGCTGTATGCTCCAGGTCTCATAGATATAACATTGTGAATTATTTTAATACTGGCTGAAGTTAGTCTTCTTTCTCCTCCCTTGGTCTTATTACCCTTCAGTTTTGGTGTCTACTTTGTGAGTTGATAATACTATATCTCCCAAGAGTAAATTTTGGATGTCAATGAGTTTTTTTTTTGTAATATCAATGCTCTTGCTATTTCCGAGTATCTGATTGTGAACATTGTTTCTGCAGTATAAAAGAGAACGTTGCAGAGCAGCCAACTTGTCTTGTCAGTGGAAAATTGAGGGAGTAAGTGATGTGTAGATTTTTCACCCTGGAAAAATTGGTTATTGTTTTTACGTATTGATGTTATCCTTTCAATTTTTAATATGGGTACTTTATAAACTGTGGACATTATGAACTTGAGTGCTGGTTGACTGGTGTATTGTATGGATCATCCTCAGTTAAGGATACTGTTGTGGCAATAATGGACTGGGCTGTTTGGTTTGTGTAGCCCTAGATGATATGTTGGTAGGGACTTCAATGTGATTAGTTACCCTTTAAAAACGTCCAATGGGTGAAGATTTATTAGGAGTATGAGAGTTTTTCATTTTTGTATTAACGTACCCTCCATGAGCTAATGGTGTTTTTTAGTGGACAAATTTAAAGATTTTTTTTTTTGTAATAGATTAGATATGTTCTTTTTTCTTCAGATTGGGGGGACTGCTTTCCAGGTTTTCCGCTAGTGGTCAGAGATCATTGTCTCATTGTGCTCGAGGCTACTTCATTTAGAGGGGGCTGGATTCCTTTTAGATTTGAGAACATGAGATTGGAACATCATGCTTATAGGGGCTAGTTTAAGTATTGGTGTATGAAGGGGAGGTCTCAAGGTTGACTGGGTTTTATATTCAGAAAAAAATAGAATTTTCCAAAAGTTAAATGTGAGCAATAAAAAGGTATTTGATGATTTATGTGCCCATTAAGTTGTAGATGTTTGCTTGGACTATGGCTCAAGGTAAGATCAACACTTGTCATTTGTTCCAAAGGTTTGTGGCACGTAGGAAGAGTTGTGAAAGTGTGGATCACCTCTTTATCCATTGTCACGTGGCTTTGAAAATGTGTTATAAAGCTTATGAAAAGTGGAGTTTGGGTCATTCCAAAAGATTGTGTTTTCTTATTCAAGATTAGGCACGATGTTTTTTGGGAAGGGATACTGTAGGTCTTTTATATTGTGGGAAGGTGCGGTTACGACGGTTATTTGATGGTATGAGTTGAAATAGGAAAATTGATATTAGGGTTAGGACAAAAGAAAAGAGAAGAAGAAGAAACAAAGGAAAGATAATTATATGTTTTGTGTATTAGGTTGCTCTACATACTCTTATTTATAATTGTGTAATATTAGAGTAATTATAATATTATCCTACACTAATTAACTTATGTCTAATATAGAAAATAAGAACTTTAACTCTCCCTCCCAAGCTGGAGCATGTAGATAAAAAAATATCAAGCTTGAAACATAAACTATTGAAAGCTGAGCTTATGGCTTGGTTAGAATGTCACCCACACCAGACTTGATATATAGAGTGATGATTTCTTTTCGTATTAAGAGATCTCGAATGAAATGGCAATCCACCTCAGTGTATTTTTTATGCTAATGAAATATCGGATTACTTGCGATGAGAATGGCTACTCAATTGTCACAGTTCATCTTCAAAGGTGAAGACACATCAATTCCATATCACGAAGTAAAAAACAGGCTCATAACTTGTCCCATGCAGTTTGTGTTAAGTAACAAGGTTACCACCGACAAATGTGCAATAGTTAGAAGTAGATTGTCTATCACCATAATTACCTTACACAATCATTGTTAGAAAAAAACAAATAGTTATGGGTGATGATGGACAATGTAATAATCCTTTCTACAGAATCCCTTTTAGATATTGAAGTTTACGACAAACAAACTTTCAATGAGACTTCCGAGAGGCATGCATGAAATTTTTTTGTATGGAAGGCATGCATGAATTGACCGACCACACCAACAACATATTTATATCAGGGCGTGTAACTATATTATAAATCAGTTTACCAACCAACTATTGGTATCGCCCAGTATCATCAAAGATTTCACCATTCTCAGGATCTAGCTTAACTGTAGGGTCGATAGGCATATTAATCGGATGCGCACCAAGAGTACCAATTTCAAATAGTAAGTCTAGTATATACATCTGTTGGCGCAAATTGATACCCTCCTTTGATTGCCCTAATGACACGTTGTTCATTAATACTGATGATAATGTCATCAACATACACATTAACAATAATGTTTGCAGAAAATTACCGGGTGAAAATTGAATAATCTGAGGTAGAGCGCTGAAAACTAAACTGCAGCACCACAGTATTGAACTTATCAAATTAAGTACAAGGTGACTGTTTCAAGCCATACAATGCCTTCATCAAATGACACTCATTGTAGAATGCATTCTATATGTTCAGTTGATACAAGGGCCAATCAGAATTGATTGCAATAGAAATGTCTTTAGGTGTAACCTTTACCAGCCAATCATGCATTCAAGGTTTCAAGCGCTCAACGGAACCATCAAGATGATATTTCACAGTGTACACCCAGTGATGGCTAACAGACTGTTTACCAGATGAAAGGGAAGTGAGGTCCCAATTATGATTTTTATAAAGTGCCTTAATTTTCTCATCCATAGTCGGCTTCCATACATGAGATGTTAATGCTTGTTTCAAGGAACAGAAACAAAGACAAAAGACAAGGTGAATGCAAAACAACAAAATAATGAAAAAAGTCATTTCAAAGAGACAAAATTAGAAATAGGATGTTGGGTACAAGTACGAGTATTTTTTCGCAATGAAATGGAAAAATCAGATAGACTCAGGATAAAGGACCTCAGTAGAATCAGGTATGGGGAGCTGGAGCATATGAGGCAACATGTCTACTCGTGGAACAACGGTAAACCAGCATTGGAGGGTCAAAATTCGGAGAGAGAGAAGATACACAATTTGGTACAAGCGACAATATGAGCTCATAAATTTGGGGTAAGAGTAGTTCTTGAATTAGAAAAAAAAGATGACATCAACACTGATAAAATACAGATGAGAGACATGATTATAACAACGATAACCTTTCTAAGTACGAGAGTATCCCAGAAAGCCATACTTAACTGAATGAGGTTAAAGTTTATCCCACCTCGAACCAAGAAGGTGAACAAATGCAACAAAATCAAATATGCGGGGAGTTAGACCAAAGGGTGATGTATCATAATAAAGGTAACAGAGATTTGTTAGCTAAGATTAAGGAAAACATTTGATTAATAAGATTGGCTGCAGTGAGAACATTGTCTGCCAATAAGGCTTGTGAACATGCATGCTAAATATAAGGGTACGAACAACATCTAATTAATGACGATATTTTTGTTTTGCAACACTATTTTGCTGGGATGTATATGGAAATTTAGTCTGATGAATGATATCATGATCAATTTAAAAGAACCATTAACTAAAATAATACAAGAGTTAGAAGAATGAAAATTAGAAAACAATGAGAAAATACCAGACATGTGAGTACTAGCTTCTGAATCAATAATTCAAGATAGTGAAGTTGGATTGGGTTGCCACATGTGTAAAACTATTTGTAGTGGCTAAACCGGTAGTTGAAGTAGGCGAATCGAAAGAGAGTGAAGATAATTGTTAAAGGAGTTGATTGAGCTAATAGGTAAGATCAGCGTGGGAGCTAGATGTAGATGTAGCAGGGCCACCAGTTGATGGCTGAGATATAAGAGGAGTTGAATCATCAGAAACTTGAGTAGCATAAGCTGGTCTTCTATGTATATCCCAACAATAATCCTCAGTATGTCTAGTAGTTCCACAATAAGAATAATTCCACTTAGAACAACCACCACGATTATCACCTGAGGTTGGATGATGATCATCACCACGACCACCGTCACTAGAGAGTAAATTAGAGGACTTCTATGAGAGAGTGAGAGTCCCACGAGTTAGAGAGGCTCTCTAAAGACAAGAATAAGTATCGGTAGTAGTTGGAAGTTTCTCAGTAGCCAAAATTTGAATTTTGAATACACCATATTCAAAATTAAGATTAGACAAGAATAGAGCAACTTGAATTCTTCACGTTATCATCGTTGTAGCTCTAGATCTGCGTTCAATGACTGACAAAACAGAATTCCTCTCATAACCCTTTCAAAGTGTGATAATGCTCAACTAGAGACTTACTCCCTTGTTTGGTAATTAGAATTAAATTTACGTTCAAAAAGTTAATAGATTCGGGACACATTATGTTCTTGTGAATATATCTCCTCAAGAGAGTTCTAAATCTTCTTTGTTGTATCAAGAAGTTGAACATTTGAAGCTACATTAGGTTCCATACCATGCCACAACCAAGTCATTACTAAGGAATTCTCACTGTACTAGTCTTCCAAATTTTGACAGTCTGTGGACAACTTTCAGTCAAATACTTGATTTTTTGTTTAGCATGCAAAAAAAACTTTAATGACATGAGACCAAACATAATAGTTGGTTTCATTTAACTTCACTAAAGTAATATGCCCAACCTAATCATCCACCAAATAGACTTGATGAATCGGAACATCAACCGATGTATCATTTGCCTCCTTAGAAGTTTCCATAGGACAATCCACTACCAAGTAGCAATATTAGATGAGAAGGAAACCACAAAGATCTCCAAACACAAAAAATAACCAAGAATAGAGCTAAGAAAAAATACCCAAGATACCTCTTCAACGTTGGATCTGATTCACAAACCTCCTAATAAGACAAACACACTAAATAGCCTCAATATCCAACAAAAAGCAATTGATTCGACAAACAATAATTGAAGAACTAACTTGAAAAACTTGTTGAACCAACTTAGAAACCCACTGATCCGGCCTAAAAATACCTTTGAATCGGCCTAAAAGACTACTGAATCGGGACCAAGAGAGACTGCAATTTGTCTATGGTTGTTGAACTGGACTGAACAATAAAGGAGTAGGAGAAACTAGAAGAAGGAACCTAAATTGGATAAAAACTAGGCTAGGCTAACCTGAACTGGTCTGAACCAGTTGAGGCTAGAATGGTCTAAGTGTATTGACCCGAGATGGACCCAAATAGAAGTTGGACTGGATTGATTTGATAACACCAATGGACCGGATTTTTTTGTTTTCAATAACCCGAAGAAAGGAGTCCGACTGCCCAGGTGAAAAGGCTTCATATTCCTCGCGAGACCTTACCAACGAAATCCTCATCAAAACCCTAGCTCCATGCGGCGGAAGTAGAGGTCCACATATGACAACACTCTGACAACCACCGAAAACCCGATCAGTGAGGTTTTATGCAAATGATAATAACCAAAAAAAAAAAAAAAGCCAACAAGAAGGCATAATTGATCACCATAAGCTGGAATCCTACATCCTTATTCTTATAGGATTCGTTTAGTAGACGTGTTAAGAGAGGATTAAATATTAGATTGTACTATTTTTATTTAATCGAGCCTAATATTTTGTTTGGTAAGCAAATTTGATACTGTATTAATTTCAAAAATGTATATTCATTGTATACTTATCGTATATTTTTTGTATGATATACCTGTATTATGGAGGTTTTTTAATACCACCAAGAGAGGTGGTATTATAATACAACTCAAACGTATTATTCTACATATTTTACTATTATAACCTCCTCAGTGATAAAATCAAACTGTCATCAATGTAACAAACACTGATTGAGAATATTTTTGTTAATTCAACATTAATATGATAAAATAGTTTTCTAACCAAACAAATGATTGGATTAAACAACTACTATCCAACACTTATATTGTGTATTGCCAAACACTAAATAAAATTACTTATTATTTTAATACTATATTTAATCTTGTCTTTTATCCATCTGTATTGTATTAGACTGAATTACTTTATCCAATCCATCCATTTTTAATACGACAATCAAACGAGCCCACACTGTTCACAATGTCGACACCCACAACTATTGTACGTGCACATTAGGGTTTAAGCACTACATCCCAGTTTGTGGGATTCATATGGAACAAACACCGGAAGTGAGAAGAAAAAGAAAAAGCTTAGTATTCAACTCCATAATCATAATTGCTCTGATATCAAGTTGAAATAGTAAAACTAATATTAGGGTTAGAAGCAAAGAGAAGAAGAAGAAATAGAGAAGAGAATAATCTATTGTGTGTATTAGGTTGTTTTACACACACTTATTTATAACTATGTAATATTAGAATAATTACAACATTACACTAATTAACTTATGTCTAATATAGAAAATAAGAACTCTAACAATATGAAATAAAGGAATAGGAATATTTTTCATGAGAAGAAAGAATTTGTCGAGTTTCTTTGAGACAAAGTAAACTTCTTGGCTTCCCTTTTGGTGGTTGTACCTAGAGAAATTGAGGATGTGCCATTTTGGGTCGCAATATGTAGGTAGATGATTATGGCCTTAGTTTGTATTGCCTTGTATTTTCTTTTTGTTCTTATTTAGGTGGACTCCTTGCTCACTTTATTGCGATCTTTTACAATTTCAATGATAGTTATGTTTCTTATCAAAAGGAAAAAGAAAAAAATTGATTGTGGAATTTGATGATTGGAAGAGATTGACAGTTTAGACGGGAATTTGAGGAAATAATTGTGGGATCTTAGGAATAACTTGAGATATGATTTTCAATGAAGAAATAGGCAAAATTGAAATGGATAAAAAAAGGTGACAATAAGTCAATTTCATAGAGTGACCAATGGGAGAAGAAGGAAGAGAATGGTTAATAAATTGGAGCTAGATAATGAAATGATGATATAGAAGGTGAGGAACATATTGGAAGGGACATCGTTATTTTTTTACTAATTTATGTCCATCTCAACAATGTCATAGTTTGATCCAAAAAAAATAGTGTCATAGGCTTAGATGTGAAGGTTCAGATTGGAGTCTCATTAATGAGCTTTTGTTAAAGGAAGACAAATCTTAGATATAACCCTAGTGGCTCCTAAGGTGGTTAAGTATTATAAATCTCGAAGATGGAGCTCCTTCTTCTTAAAATTGATTTCAAAAGAGTTTTTGACCTTGTGGATTTCAGTATTTTGGATAGTGTCTTTAATGTGGAAACATTTAGGGGTAGGTGGAGGAAGTGGACCAAAGGATGCGTGTAGTCCATGAATGTTTGTCAAAAGTGTGTTTGTAGGAGACTTTTAGACATGGGGATTCTTTATCACCTTTTTTAGATTTCACTTTAGTGATTGATATGTTGAGTTGGTTAGTGATGAGGGTTTGAAGGTGCAATCTAATGGAAGGATTTGAAATAGCAAGAGAGAGAGCCTCTATTTCTGTAATGCAATTAGTAGCTGATACAATATTATTTTATGTGACGGATGAGGAAATATTTTTGAATATCAAGACAGCTGTGGATGGTTGGATGCGTATGGTAAGTCTTGGGGTTAAAAGTTAATATGGATAAATGCTTAATTATTTGTATAGATTCTCATCATGATAAGATTTCTAGATTGACTGGATCTTGGGATATTCTGTGAGTATTTTGGTTGGTGGTAATGCATTTGCTTTTGTTTTTTAAGGATCCAGTAAATGAAAAAATGGGAGAAAAGGCTATAGGTGTGGAAGATGTCCATTATTTCTAAAGGAGGAATTTTAAAATTAGCAGTCTCCTTTCACTAGTGTTCCATTTAGTTTATGAAAGATTGATGAGAAGTTTTTTGTAGAAAGTAAGTGAAAAGGCGAAGAAGGATCCTTTGATCAGATGATAGGTAGTTTCTTGATCTAAAGCTACATCTGGTCTTTTGTTGGGAACTTGATTGCAAGAAATGTGGCTGTAGTTTTTAAATGATTATGACAATTTTCTTTGTAGCAAAGTTCACCCTGTTATTCGGTTATCATTAGAAAATATGGATTACAAGGAGTGATGCTAATAGGTTTAAAGACGAATTTTGTGTTGCCAATGGAAATTCATTTCTCGGGGTATGTTTCGGTTTTATGTAGTGGGTAATTGCATGACAGTTTGATTTGTATAAAGCAAAAATGGTAGAGAAACCTTGGACTTGGTCTCACTGCATTTTATACTTTTGAATGATGGGTCATATGATAAAAGAAGTTAGATCATTGATTCTGCGGGTCTTTTTGTGTAAGCCTTTCTTTGAATCTTTCTTCACGTCCACACTTTTCACCGTCTTTGACGATTTAGAAACTAGAGTGGTTATTAGGGTGCAAGTTTGTCCATGGACAAATTGCTTATGACAATATTAATCGTAAAGATATGCTTCTAAAGCATGTCTTTCTCCGTAGTGGCGTGTGTTATGTGTCAATCTGATAGTGGAAGTGTTGATAATTTCTTCTTGCATTTCCCCATTGCATTGTCTTTGCGGAATAAGTTGTTTTTCTTGACAATTTGGAGCTGGATGACTACTTGGTCTTCTTCATCTTTGTTTGTTATGTCCTCTAGGGATTTTATGAGAGATGAGAAAAGGGTCTACTCGTTGGAGTTGTGTAATTTTAGATACCGTCTAGGCTATTGAGGTATCTTTTGTTTGATTCTCTTTCTTAGGTGGATGTGTTATCCAATACTTTGTAATACTTTTTGGCATCTAATGAAAGTCTTGTTACCTATCAAAATATTTGTCGGAAAGAAACTCTAGGACATTTGAAGTTTGATTTGTGGTGGTCATCTGGTCTATTTTCTAGGATCTTGGGGTTCCGTCACCAAGGATTTTGAGAATATTCATCTCTCGTGTTATGGCAAGGTGGAGAGCTTTATGTGCCTAAGAGTTTGGTTATACATATTCCATGTTTTCAAAGTATTTTGTTGTTGTTGGATTTTTGGTTGGACAGCTTGTCCATGTCTTTTATTTCTAATGTACCACTTCTTTATCCATAGTATATTTCTTATATAAAATAAGCTGTGGACATTAAGTTTGCATGCTTTATTTTGGGTCTCTCTACAATTATAGTTTCTGCTTTTAGGTACCAAATGAATGGACTGCGGTGGTTGGTTTCGCTGTATAATAACCATTTGAATGGAATTCTTGCTGATGAAATGGGTCTTGGTAAAACCGTTCAGGTATGCTTTTGTTAAAATATATGCTGTGATTTGACTCTCTTTTTTATTTGATATTGTTGAGTTTTCAGCTTTTGAATCTTATGGGAATCATTAAGAGTCTGACAACATGAGCTTTTGTAGGTTATTGCTCTAATTTGTTACTTAATGGAAACCAAAAATGACCGTGGACCTTTTCTAGTAGTTGTACCATCCTCCGTTCTACCTGGATGGGAGTCAGAAATTAACTTCTGGGCCCCAAGTATCCTCAAAATAGTCTATTCTGGGCCTCCAGAGGAGCGGCGAAGACTATTTAAGTAATGGCTCTCAATTTAAAATGGTTCTTTATCCTATATTATTTTTTTCAATCATCATAAGTTTATTTATTTTCTTGTCACTGCAGGGAAAAAATAGTTCATCAAAAATTTAATGTCCTCCTGACAACATATGAATATTTGATGAACAAGCATGACAGACCTAAACTGAGCAAATTACAATGGCATTATATTATAATTGATGAAGGCCATCGGATAAAAAATGCTTCTTGCAAGTTAAATGCTGAATTGAAGCACTATCGTAGTAATCACAGATTGCTGTTGACTGGAACTCCCCTGCAGGTTACAGCTCTTCTTTACTGGTGTTGTTTGTTCATCTAATTCTTTTATCTTCTTTGTGTGGTTTAAGAAATATACTTTTTTTCCTTTGGATGTGGGGCCTGGGTGATCTACATTACCTTACATCTTTTATTTCATCATGTTCATTTGATCGACTGTCTAATTTATATTATTCTTCTTACATGTAGAACAATCTTGAGGAACTGTGGGCACTGCTTAACTTCTTGTTGCCAAATATTTTTAACTCATCGGAGGATTTCTCTCAATGGTTCAACAAACCATTTGAGAGTAATGGCGATAATTCACCTGATGAAGTAAGCTTTGTATGAAATCTGCTTTTGATGCTCCAATGCTGTTCACTGACTTCTCCTATTGTAACTAGGCTTTGCTATCGGAGGAGGAAAATCTTCTGGTTATAAACCGTCTTCACCAAGTTCTGCGACCGTTTGTGCTTCGGAGACTAAAACACAAGGTTTTTGATGGCATAACTATGCTTTCCAACCAGGATTTTCGTAGATTAGAGTTCTTATGATACAAATAGGAATCTTTGTGTTTGCATATTCATGTGTGTATCCGTACTGGTGGCTGCAGTCACTTGGACTATCCTTCAGTGAGCTTCAGTCTAGTCAGTTGAGACCTGTTCTTCATTCATGATTGGGCAGCCAGAAACTCAAAAATAAAATATGATATTTATATATAAAGAGGTGAAACAATAAGATTGCTCTATTGTGGGTCGAGTTGCAAAAAACTCTCTCCGCATGCAGGGCGATTAGTAAATCCGAGTCTACCATGCTCCAGGGTCTCTCTACATGGTTGTCATTGTTATATTGCCTCAATAGCTTGGGGTGGTACCTGGTCAGGTTACCAACTTTTCCCTAAGGTATTTAATTCCTTAGGTGGAGTCTATCGTGAAAATTGACATAATTATGTTTATAAACGAGGCATTTTATTCCTTAGGTGGGGTCTATCATGAAAATTGGTGTAGTCATGTTAAAGAAAGAAGAGTAGTTAGGCTTCACAACAAAAGAATTGATCTCAATACCAAAGGTTTTGATAGGAGAAGGGTACATAATTTTTTAAAGGCATGTAAAATAGATATGACACCTTCATATCCCTGATCAACTATGGCAAAAATTGCATCCACCAAGAACAAAAAATAGATGAAGTTGAACTGATAAAATACAATTGGATGGTTTTTGAAATTTGCTTTTCTTTTGGCAGTCATCCAATTGAATTTAATAGTCAATGTGTAAGATTGTGTAGTGAACTAGGAAGCACGAATACGTATGAGACACGGTGTCCGACACTTCTAAAAGTGTCATGAATTGGGAAAGTAAATTTTTTGTGTCGGATAGGGCAGGGATATGGGAGGGTCACGATAATAATTTGGTGCAAATTAGTCTTAACTTAATGGACTTGGACAAACTTGTAACTGAGTTAGTCGATTCATGATGGGATCAAACAAATCAGTTAACAAAAAAAAAGAAGCAATTGAAGAAGAAATTGAAACCAAACCTACAAATCAAGCCATGTCGAGTTTTCATCATCCTCTTCTTCATCTTCTTCACCATATGGTCTTGGCTCCTCCACTGCCCGATCATCTTCGATCACATACGCAGTTGATCTCTTTCTGCGTCAACCGAAGTGTTTTGGGGTTTTTCTTTTTTGGGTGTGGGAGTTGAAGGGTTGGGTGTGGGAGTGAAAGGTTATTTTGGGAATGGAAGAGTTTTTTGGGGGTTTAGGAGTGAAAGGCTTATTTTGGGGGTTTTAGAGTAGAAGGGTTTTTTCGGAGTCGGCCAATAAGAGGTGTAGGAGTTAAAAGAGTGATTTTATTTTTTATGCATTTGAGGAGTTAAGACTTAAGAGTGTTTACTATTAGTTATAGTACTTTATTTTATTACTGCTATATTGGTAGGTTGTGAATTATGTCTTGTATTTTATTTTGGTATTGTTTATTTTAAAGAGATTGTATTTTTTTAGTTATTATTATACATATAAAAATATATTATATTATTTTAATTAGTCGTATCCTCGCAGTTCCGTGTCCTCTATTTTTTAACTTTGTCATGTCCATATCGTATTGGATATGACACCCGTGCGACCGTGCTCGTTTCCGTGTTTCATAGATAGTGAATGTTACTAGTGGTCCTCAAATTTTTTTTTTCTTTTGTATTTATATCTTTATTTTTTTAATGAATTTGTGTTTCTTATCACAAAAAATGTCACTAGCAGTCCTCATATTTGTGCAACACGCAAAAACAGCGTAACACGATAATAACTCGGTGCAAATTAGTCTTAACTCAGTGGACTCGGACAAACTTGTAACGGAGTTAGTCGATTCATGATGAGATCAAACAAATTTGTCAACAAAAAAAAAAAAAGAAGAAGGAAGCAATTGAAGAAGAAATTGAAACCAAACCTACAAAATCAAACTATGTCGAGTTTTCGTCATCCTCTTCTTCACCATATGGTCTTGGGTCCTCCGCTGCTCGATCACCTTCGATCATGTATGCAGATGATCTATCTCTCTGCGTAAACTAAAGTGTTTTGGGGTTTTTCTTTTTTGGGTGTGGCAGTTTAAGGATTGGGTCTGGGAGTGAAAATGTTATTTTGGGAGTGGATGAGTTTTTTTGGGGTTTGAGAGTGGAAGGGTTTTTTCGGAGTCGGCCAATCAGAGGCGTAGGAGTTAAAAGAGTGATTTTATTTTTTATGCATTTGAGGAGTTACGACTTAAGAGTGTTTACTAGTAGTTATAGTACTTTATTTTATTATTGCTATATTAGTAATTTGTGAATTATGTTTTGTATTTTATTTTGGTATTGTTTATTTTAAAGAGATTGTATTTTTTTAGTTATTATTATACATATAAAAATATATTATATTATTTTAATTAGTCGTATCCTCGTCATATCGTGTCCTCTTTTTTAACTTTGTCGTGTCCATATCGTATCGGATACGACACCCATGTGACCGTGCACGTTTCCATGTTTCATAGGTAGTGAATGTCACTAGCGGTGCTCAAAAATATTGTTTTTCTTTTGCATTTATATCATTATTTTTTTCAATGAATTTGTGTTTCTTGTCACAAAAAATGTCACTAGCAGTCCTCATATTTGTGCAACACACAAAAACACACAGATTTGGTTTTATGCATTGTGGTTCTTGTTCAGCTATAGTAGCTGTTGGAGAAATCTACTGCACAAGTGACTATTAAACATACTGTTAGCTTCGTATAGATTCACACTACTAGCATGATATTGCTAATTGCAAAATCATGAGTCATGACAATAATCATTAACTGGAATTTACTCTGCAACGCAGTCTACGGATTTACACACTTTGTGCAAAATAGCATATCTAGATTGCCTGTAAGTGGTATAAGAAAAAGAACAACTGTGATATGTTGTCTTATCTTTTCTTATTGAGAGATTTTATTTGTTCATGTGCATAATTTTTTGTTGATAACTTGAGATATAAGGGTGTTTGCAACCGTTGGATTTCTATGACTTGATTCATTTGCATTTGTGATTTGGTGGAATATCTCCTTGTAAAAACATCCAATACATAACCATGTGTGGTCATTGACATTAATTGTCAAATATCAAATTTATGTGTTCAATTTTTGTTGCCTTATGCAGCACTACTTTATCTATTGTTGTCTCCTGTGCATTAACTTTCTATGATAGTGGTTGTGAATTTGTGTCATAATTTATTGTGTTTGTGGGAAGAAAATTCCACTGCTTGCATCATGTTCATATGATTTTGCTATTGGGAACTATTCTATTTATTAATGTTTTTGAATTCACAAATACTATTCATAGGTTGAAAATGAATTACCTGAAAAGATTGAAAGACTTGTAAGATGTGAGGCTTCTGCATATCAGAAGCTTTTGATGAGGAGGGTAGAAGACAACCTTGGTGCGATTGGAACCTCAAAGGTTTATTTCCTTTGCAATTATTTCTAAGTTCTCTGTTTTAATTTTATGGTCAGGGGCATATCCTTTATTATTTGATTCTGGATTTATATCCAAAGAACTTAAGTTTTGCACCTACGCACATTGCTTTTGACAGCGACACATATATGTATGCATCTGAGCGAATACCTCTATGCTCTGACCTTAACTTAATGATTTTATCAGGTGCGGTCCGTGCACAATTCTGTTATGGAGCTACGTAATATATGCAATCATCCTTATCTGAGCCAGCTTCATGTTGAGGAGGTATGGATTTCGGGAACGATGATAAATACGAGAGGGAAGGAATATTTGAAGACATGTTTGCCTGTCTTGGATATAGTTGGATAGTTTTTTTCCTTTCCCTTATTGTTTTGGGAACCATACAGAAGTTCTCTAAAACCTCTGATCTCTTGTCCAGGTGCCTGATGTTGATGTATAGCCGTTATGTTCACCTTGTTTCCTACTTTTGTAGGTACATGGTCTAATTCCTAAGCATTACCTGCCGAATATTGTGAGACTTTGTGGGAAGCTTGAGATGTTGGATCGATTACTGCCCAAGCTAAAAGCAACAGATCATCGGGTATGGCCATGTTTGTATGTGCTTCTTGGCTTTATCAAAGTGTTTTGGATCATAAGTTTGATGTTTTACCCATTTAAGATGACAGGGTATGCATACACAGTCTAATATTTGGTTACCTTTATTCTTGGTCCATTTGCTGTTACTGCTGATACTTGATATTATATGCAGACGTGACGCGCTTTCTTTTCTTTTGTATTTGTTGCTGAGCTCTGATGTTCTTACTTTTTTTAAAAAAAGTATGTATGGTTATACCATTGTTGAATGCTCAATTTGTGTGGATATTTGCTGCTGTGTGAGATATTTTTTATATTTGTCAGAACAACATATTTACTTACTGGAAAAAAATCCAGATAATGATACCCATTGACTTTTTGGACATTGGCATTATGCAGTTCTTGATATCATGATGTCTTACAAGCTGAAAGTTTATTGTATTCTTCTACCTTTTTCTTAATGAGCCATCGTCTTTGGGATACAATCGTTAGTTACTCATCCTTTAATTTCATTTAAGGGGTGGAGGGTATTATGAAAGAAAGCTTTATTTTGGTTCATGTACTTCCTGTTTTTGCTTCTGATGATAGTTTGCTTGCATTTTTTGATTATGGACAGGATATCATTTCATGAACTGATGCTTTATAAAGTAGACCCTTGGATTTGAAATTTATAATTTTGCAGGTTCTTCTATTTTCAACAATGACTAGGCTGCTTGATGTTATGGAAGATTATCTCCACTGGAAACAGTACAGGTATCTTCGCTTAGATGGCCATACAGCTGGTGGTGAACGGGGAGCCCTTATTGAGAAATTCAATGAACCTGGTTCTCCATTTTTTATATTTCTGCTCAGGTAGAGTACATTATGTTCTATTTGGTAGTTGTTTAAATGTTTGGAGCCTTTTTTTCCTGTATGTTTTTCACTTAAAGAGGTGGTAAAGCAGTTGGCTCCAGTGAATGATGATTTGGGGGCCTGTATGTGTGAGGACCTGCATTAGGCTATCTGGGCACTTGCTGGTTCTGCCTCAGCTAGGTTGGGCACTTGTCGGTCATTTGCGACCTTGGGGATTGGAAAAAAAATTGCCTGCTCAGTAGCCCAAACAATAGGTTATTGCTCTTAGTAGCTTAGATGCATCTAACTGCTGCTGTGGGACTTTAGTTTAGCCACATAATGGAGACTCTTGTGTAAATTTCTTTAGCTGGTGGTTCCTGACTGTTCCGCTGATAAGAAGCATGCTTATTCAGGACTTGGTGGCACTTCCACCCAGCACTTGCATGGTGTTTATTGTCAAAGGTGTCTGCATTGTCCCATTACGGTGCTTAGGTGGTTTTCTCACATCTACTTGCCAAGGTGCTAGTTTTTGTACCTTGGTCGCTTACAAGACATGGCATGTCAGGAGACCTTTGAGGCTTGTTTTATCTTCTTCTGGATAATGCACATATATGCGTATCGCATGTATGAACACAGATGCTTATGTGTCTCGGTTTATTTCGTTCTTATAACACTGACATTTGGTTATGTGATGGTAGCATCCGGGCTGGAGGAGTCGGAGTGAATCTTCAAGCCGCTGATACTGTGATTATTTTCGACACGGATTGGAATCCACAGGCAACATATATTTACTCTGCCTCAAGTACTTTCATTTAATAGAAAAAGTAAATTATTGGTTCTAAAGTTTGTGGTTTTTCCCTCTGTTGTCCTGTCAGGTTGATCTGCAAGCACAGGCAAGGGCTCATCGGATTGGCCAAAAGAAGGATGTTCTTGTTCTTCGATTAGAAACGGTGAGTACTACGGTCTTGGACAGATATATTTCTGAATTATTTGTTCTGAACCTGAAAAACTTGGGTTGCAATTGAGGGTAAACAATGGACAGGTTAACTTTTTGAGATTATTTTATTGTAATAAGACAGAAAACACTGACCCATCATTCTCTGCATCCCTTCTTTTTCCGGTGGGCAAATTACATTGACGCCCCCCTATGGTTTGATAATTCAAGGGGGTACCTTTTTGGTTTCTAAAGTTACACTGAGATTTTGTGTTAGATTTTACGCCCTAAGAGTCGACATCAGTCAGTCAATTAGTGCAATGACCATTTCATGTAGAAGAAACAATAGAATACCTAGTTTGCCAGAGAAAAGAAAAGAGAGATGGAGGGGAGATTCTTTTGTCACATGGAGGGGAAATTCTTATGCCATTGTGCTATATTAGTACCATATTTCGTGTTAAATTGAAATCTATCCTATAATTTATTGCTATCTCAATCAAAATTAATATCGGTTTATTTCTACCAATCACACTCATTTGATAGGTATCACATCAGTTTTCATTATTGGTTTAGTAATATGTCGTCTTTAACCATGTATCCTATTAATTTTATCTTCTATTGGTGTTACTTTTACCATATGATGAATGCATTCATTTTTATTATATTGTCTATAGTATTACCGTACATCTATCTTGACATTCTCATTTCATCTTCATTTAGTTTTCTAGCATGTTTCTTAATTACTTGACAATTATACCACTAGTCACTGCAGGTCTAATGACTTTCTTGTAGAATTTACCTTTCTGCTTAATTGGTATATGCCGATCACATAGTATAACTAGATGTATTCCTCTGATTGGTCTAAATTGCTTTAAGTCTATTGCTAACATCGTCTCTGTTAAGTTTAGAGGATTAACACAATATTAGAGAGAAACAGAGAGGTTAAAAACTTAACCTACCTCTCATACATTACTTGTATTTATAGTTAACTCGCAATAATAAGAATTATACATAATACCTTAACACTATTAACAATTTACACATACTATCCTAATACTCTTAACACTCCTCCTTAACCTGGACTATATATATCATATAATCTAAGCTTGAAACAAATAGCTGTAAGACGTGTACGACTCAATACTTTGGTAAACATATTTGCAAGCTGATCTTCAAATTTTACAAATGGAGTCGTAATCTCCCCAGCTACTATCTTGTCCTGAATAAAGTGACAATCAACTTCAATATGCTTGGTTTTCTCGTGAAACAGGATTGACAACGATATGGATAGCTGTCTGGTTGTCACAGAACAACTGTAAAGAAGTTGAACTAGAAACTCAATTTTCTGGAGGAAGTGTAGTAGCCAAGTCAACTCACTCGTCGTATATGCTATTGCTCTAGACTGAGCCTCAGCACTAGATCTTGCTACCACGGGTTATTTCTTACTTTTCCATGAGACAACATTACCTCCTAAGAAAGTACAATAACCAGTGGTTGATCTCCGATCAGAAGGAGAGCCAGCCCAATTAGCATCTGAGAAATCTTTCACTCTAAGATGTCCATTAGCTCGATATAACAATCCAAGCTCAGGAGCTCGTTTGAGATGTCGCAGAATACGAGTAACTGCCTTCTAATGTGGTACTCTAGGACACTCATGAACTGACTTACTATACCGACTGCATAGAAAATATTCAGTCGAGTAATAGTAAGATAATTAAGCTTTCCAACCAATCTGCGATACCGACTCGGATTTTCAAACAATACACCATCATCCATCAATAATTTTTGATTTGGATCCATAGGAATATCAATCGGTCTATCACCTAGCAAACCTGCTTCCTCAAGCATGTCAAGTACATCTTTTTTTTGGGATAAACAAATACCCTGTTTAGATCAAACCACTTCAATACCTAATAAATACCTGAATTTTTTCAAATCTTTAGTATGAAATTGATCTTGTAAGAATATTTTTAACTTGACAATCCCCTTAGAATTTTCTCAGTAATCATAATATCATCTACATAGACCACCAATAGGACATATCTAGCATCTATCTGTCTATAAAATACAGAATGATTTGTCTGACATCGAAGAAGACCAAAATCTAAAAATACATCTAAAAACTTATCAAACCATGTCCTAGGTGACTGCTTCAAACCATACATAGATTTCTTTAACCGACATACACTCTTACCATACTCCTCCTGAGCAGTAAACCTAGGTGACTGCTCCATGTATACCTCTTCAACCAAGTCACCATGTAAGAAGACATTCTTGATGTCTAACTGAAACAAGGGGTAATCAAGATTAGCAGTCAAAGAGATCAAGATATGAATAGAGGAAATTTTGGCAACAGGAGAAAAAGTCTTCTCATAATCAACACCATAAGTCTGAGTAAAGCCTTTTGCAACAAGTCGGACTTTGAGACGCTCCACAGAACTATCTGGATGAAATTTAATAGTATACACCCAATGACAGTCAACAGTTCGTTTATCAGGGGGTAAAGGAACGAGATTCCAAGTCCCATTACTATGTAAAACATCTATCTCCTCCATAGCTTTCCTCTGACCCGGATCAGATAAAACATCGTGTAAATACTTAGCAATAGATATAGCAGATAATTGGGAGGAGAAGACAGGAGACAAGGCATCATATGAAACAAAATGAGAAATGGAATGATTAGTAACACACGAACGAGTACCTTTGCGAAAAGCAATAGGTAAAGAGTCTAAATTACCTAATGTATCAGGATCAGAAGGAACAAGGAAGATGGTACGGGCACCTCAATCGATGGGTGAGGACGGCGAGAGTAGACACGGAGAGATAAAGTAGATGATGACATAGTGGACAACGGAATGTCTGAAGATGAGGAAAGAGATGGTGGTACAAGAGATGATTCAAAGTCCAGATTCAAAGGCTGAGAAGGTGCTGGAAAGTATGGAGCAGATTTTTCAAACGTGACATCAGCACTAGTAAAGTATTGGTGTAGAGAAGGACTGTAACAACGATACCTCTTCTGCGTGCGGGAGTAACTAAGAAATACACATTTGGTAGCTTGAGGGTCAAGTTTGTCAAACCTAAGACCCAAATTGTGAACATAACAGACACATCCAAAAATCTTAAGAGTCAGAAAAAATAAGAGTTTACCAGGAAAAAGGACAGAATATAGATTTTGTCTATTTAACACAGAGGATGACATGATTAATAAGATGACAAACAGTAAGAACAACATCACCCCAAAAATATCAGAGAATATTAATTTGGAATAACAGGGCACGGGTGACTTTCAACAAATGACGGTTCTTGCATTCAGCAACACCATTTTGTGGAGAGGTGTAAGCACAAGAAGTCTGATGAATAATGTCAATTTTACTAAGATAAGCTGAAAAAGGATCAGATTCATATTTTCGAGCATTTTCAGAACATAAAATACGGATACGACACTCATACTAAGTTTTTATTTTTTTACGCAATGTCTCAAATATAGAGAATAATTTAGACCAAGTTTTTATCAGAAACAACCAAGTTACACTAGAATAGTCATCCACAAATGACAAAATATGGATATTTATTAGATAAAATATTCTCTATTGGACCCTATACATTAGAATGCACCAACTCAAATGGACTAGACACACGATTATTGACTCGAGACTAAAATGACACACGGTGATGTTTACTAAGTTGACAAGTTTCACAAGACAAAGACGGCACAGAACTAAGACTGGAAATTTGACGCTTCAGATTTTGGAGAGAGGGATGTCCAAGACGACAATGTCACTGAAAAGGAGACAACAAGGTCTGTAGAGCCCGAGTAGGTGAATCAAAATCAAAGTAATATAGGCCACCAACTTTATGTCCCATACCAATCTTCCTCTTCGTCTTAAGATCCTGAAAGACACAATAAGAAGGATAAAATGTTACAAAACAATTGAAAGAACGGGTAATCTTGCTAATGGAAAGTAAATTAAAAGGAAACTGAAGAACAAATAATATGGAAGATAGAGACATATCAAGACTTAAGTTAGTAGTCCCCAAACCTGAAATTTTAGAACAAGGGCCATTAGCAAGAATAACACTATGTGTAGAGGTAGCAAACTGATAAGTAGAAAAAATATCAGACGCACCAGTCATGTGATCAGAAGCGCCAGAGTCTATGATTTAGGGACTGCGATTGGAGGACAATAAATAAGTAGAAGCAATACCTGACTGAGCAAAAATAGCAATGTTGTCGCTGGGATAGGAACTGGGCATACTCCTCTCGACCCAGTGTAATAGTAATTGTAGGTGGCAAAGGTGGAGTTAGGGAGTTGTAACCTTGCTTGGGTTCCATAACAGTATTGCAAATACAAAAAGAAAATCACTAGATCACTGAACCGAACAAGAAACACTTATTGCATTGTTGAACCGAAGAAGAGAAGGTAGCTGGATAACCAGACCGGGTTGGAAAACCTGGCTGGGGCAGAGAAGTCCACTGGAGCGTTGAACCAGACTAGAAAAGTCTACTAGAGTGCTGAATCGGGCCAGAAAAGAATGCTGGAAAACTGAACCGGACCACAAGAGTTGATTGGATCACTGAACCGGGCAGACCAGGCTTGCTGGATTGCTGAACCGGACTTGTTGAGGCTGTTGGAGGACTAAACCGGACAGCCTAGGCTTGCTGAACCGGAGTAGATGCTGACTGAACCAGTGGGAAACTAGTTGAACCGGTCTAGGCTGAATCGCTGAACCGGTCTAGGCTGGACCGTGAACCGGATCAGGTTTGGGTTGGACCAGATTGGGCTGGATCTAGATCAAAAATATATTAAAACCCATGGACTTTGTCTTCTCTGTCGCTAGGGTTTCAGAAGGCCTAGTCTTCTCAACAGCGGCACCTAACAGCCACACCACCACAAAGAACAACACCACCACACTAATCAACACCACAAGAGAGACAAGCGGAAACGACAGCAACAGCACCACCACAGAGACAAACGGGAATGACAACACCACAACGATCAATAACGCCACAGTCTGATACCACCATAGTCGACAACGCCACAAAGGCCACCACACCAGACAACATAGTAACACCAACTTCCACAGAGGCCA